CCTCAGCTGGATGGATTGGCACAGTGGCTGCAACAGCAGGCTCCAACAAGACAGGGATTGTGAGGGTGGTGCAGGATTGGGCAAAGTTTCATTCCGTTGCACATAGGGTTGCTATGAGTTGGAAGCAACGTGACGGCACCTAACAACGATAGAAGTTGTTGTTGTTGTTGTTATGTGCCGTCAAGTCAGCCCTGACTCATAGCGACTCCTTGGGTTGCCAAGGCAGTATCACTACGGAAGTAGATTGCCTAACCTTTCTCCTGAGGAGTGGCTCGTGGGTTTGAACCGCCAGCCTTCTGGTTAGCAGTCAAGTGTCTTAGGCACTATGCTACCAGAGCTCCTACAATAGAAGTAAAAGCAAAAAAAAAAAAACCCACACATTTATTTTGTTAAATCAGTGACATAGTTAGTCTGTACTGATTCTTCTTTCTTAAGGAAGCCTTTTGGAAATTACCTTTTAAAAAGCCATCTGCTTAATACAACTTACTCCTTTCTCCTCTGTATCTTTTTTTTTTTAATAACTTTTTCCTTGTGGATATACCCCATTGGCGATTAATGAGATTAATACTCAGTTTCTGTACCAAGACTCTGAAGTTGGAATCAAGAAATATTTCTAGAGCCAAAAAATAGAAGGAAACACCCCTTTTTTGCCTAGAGCCATTGTGTTATGAACCGTTTTGTGCTCAGCTGGCCTTTTCTACTTTATCTGTTATTATACTGGCTATTGCCCCAGTGGTGGACAGGTATAGAGGGAGTGAGTAGGGTGGCCTTTCTACTCAACATGACAAAATAGGCTATCAAAAACTGTGTTTTAGTAATTCGCGGAGAGACAGGCTCTCTGTTTTCCTATTAAACTTGGACAGGAGAGCCTTTTACCTTGTGAAATGAAATTGTAACTACAGTGGAAAAACCTATCACCCATGCCCATAGTCTGGTTGTGCAGAAATACTGGATGGTGGCAGACCGTGCTGACTTTCCTCATCAAGATTGAGAATTTGTCTGTTTTTAGTTTCAGTTCTTGTTCCTCTTTCTGGTCTTCAAGCTCCTTCTGTCTTCTGGGTCATATCATGTTACCTGGGAGTTGATCATTAATTATAATTATGGACCCCTTATTGTCTTGCTGAAATGCTGTTTTATGAAAGTTGTGAATTTATATAAAATCAGTTAGTAGGACTGATGAGGTGTTATCAGACCCAGTAGGTACCTGATTTCTTTTTTGACTTTTCAACTGAGGCAGGAAAGTAGGTAAGGAAATAACTACTGAAATATTATAAGAAACTACCTTTCTTGGTTAAACTTAGACATTTATCCTGTTCCTGTGTAAAATCACCACCATTGTCAAAATTATTATTATTTTTTTAAATTCCTAGGTTTAATGTGACACATTTGTGAGCGTGATCTAGTACTAATCAAAGAAAAATATGATACCTGGCCCACTAGACCTTAGAGACCGAAAAAAGATTTGATCAATCTCAGTGTCTACAGCATCTCTGAAAATTAGATCTTCCAACCCAATGTGACCCAGAAAAAGAGGACCATGCTGTTGTTAGCTTGAATCTTAGATTTTAGAGGTTTCAGGAAAAATGAAACCATTGTGAGGGCTTTGGCCATTCAGTGAGAAGACTTGAATAAGAATCTTTATTATGGTGCTTTCCTGTTTTCTGAGTACTTTGATTTGCTTGGCCCTTGGTGCACATGACCTCATTTGTTCCTTATAGGTACTCTGAGATAGGCTAGGCAAATACCATTTTGGAGATGAGAAAACTGAGCTGAAAGGAATTAAAGGGGCTTGCACAGGATTACTTGGCTAGTCGTAGTTTGGGGCTAGTTGAGCTCACTGAAATGTGTGGAGAAGGTTCTCAGATGAATATAACATGGCCGTTGCCTCCAAGCTTGCTCTGACTCTTCATCTTTTGTTCTTTCAGGCAGACCTAACCTGCCTGTCTCTCTCGTTCTTTTGTTCTTTTCTTTCACTGTGGTAAAACGTGTACAGAAAATTGGCATTTCAGCGTGTACAGTTTAGTGACATTAATTATATTTGCCACGTTGTACAGCCATCACCCCTATTTCCAAACGTTGTCCATCACCTAAACTAGAAGCTCTGTAGCCCTTAAAAGTAATAACTCTCAAGCCCCTTCTCCCCTAGTCCTTGGTAACTGTAATAAACTTTCCTCTAATTTAGATATTTCATATAAGTGGAGTCATACAGTATTTGCCCTCTTGTGCCTGATTTATTTCACTCAACATAATGTGTTCAAGGTTTATCCGTGTTACAGAGTGTATCCGAACTTCATTCCTCTTTAAGGCTGAATAGTATTCCATTGTATGTCTGTACCACATTTTATTTATCCATTCATCCGTTGACGTCCACCCTATCTCTTGAGGGTACTGTTTAATTAATAATCATCACATACTAGGTTATAAGCACTTAGTCACGCATGGTGCTGTACAAGGGGTGTAATGGTACTTATTGCATGCTTGGATTCTGGTCCTTGCCCTTTAGAGACCTCACTATGCAAAATCCGTGTGTGTGTGCGTGTGTGTAATGTTACCATGCATGTGAATGGGTAATGATAGTTTTATATCTCCTAACAAGAACTTTTTAAGAGAATAAACATGAGAGTTTCTTAGATGAAGATGTTGGCATTTGGTTCTTCCTGGGATCTTTAGTAACTTATGATGGAAATAAATGACAGTTAGTTTCTGTGTGATACCAACAAGGTCAGTAGCTAGGATTTACTTCACTGCAGACTTATTTAAATCTAGTGTATATCCCTCTTGCATCAGTATGAAGCGTGATGGCAAAAGTACTGTTTTTGGAATCAAATGGACCTAAACCATTAGCTTGGATTGACCCTGTTGTAATCACAGAGAAAAGAGCTGTCACTTGTTTTCACCACAAATTACTGATAAATGAACTGACCTTTAGGTAAGTAACTTAGCCACCCTGAGCTTTAGCTTTCCTATCTGTAAAATAGGGGTCACCCCTGCGATATAATGCTGCTGTGGGAATTCAGTACAATAGCACCTGGCATAACAGTTTTTTAGATGGTGGCTGTTAGGATGGCGACTATTACAGCCTTTAGTTAGGGGTACTCTAGGGTTTCTGCGAGTTAGTTTGTTAACTTTTTTTTAATTGATTAAAACAACTTAGGTATTTTAGTTTTGGATATGTCAAGTGTGGCACATGACCTTCTGTGTCAGTAGCTTTCTGGTTACATTGTAGATAGAAACTAGAAGCATGAAGGAGTTTTGTCCAAAGACAAAGGTCTTTGTACACCTTCAGTTTTACAACATTCCCACGTTTTCAGTAAGTACCATCTTTAAGAGTGAAAAAAACAAGACACAGAAAGCATAGTTTGTCTCATGATACACAGCTGGTCAGTTACAGTAACGTGAACCTTCAAATAAGTTTTCTTTCCACAAAAGATACTCATGAAGTCACTTCTCATGCAGTGCCATCAAGTCAGCTCTGATTCATAGCGACCCCTCCTTGGGTTTCCGAGGCAGTATCACTATGGAAGTAGACCTTCCCAGGATTAGCTGGTGGGTTGGCAGTCAGAGGCCCTTGGGCATTACTCCATCAGGGTAGTTAGCAAATCTGCCCTCATTCTTGTTAATGTATCCTGCATCTTTCTTTTTATTCTTTTGTTTCTAGTTCTAGAGAAATTGTCCCATATCTAGTCCTTGTGTCTCATGTCTGGACTCTAGAGTATGTAATGGCTTTGGAATGGGTCTTCCTGCCTTCAGGCCTGGCTCCCACCCCCTGCCCCAACTATCCACACATGCTGCCTGCTACCTGTCCCCCCCCCCTCCAAACACTTACCAGGCTTTAGTGCATCCTGTCCATAGCTGTTAGGTTTTTCTTTAAAACTGGTGATTTTCTTCACATAGGTGTGATTTTCTTTGTCCTTTCCCTCTCCTTCCCTCAGCCACACTCCTGCCCACCTCCCCCTTCTTCATACAGGCATTCCCTTCTCTCTGCCGTTAGTCCTGTGGTTTTGCTTTCTAGCCTACCTGCTCTCATCTTTTTAGTTACTCCTTTTCTGACCAGTCTTCTTCGGGTGGGTCATTCCTGATTTCCCAGCTTGCTTTGATTGCTCCTTTTTCATGTCTGCAGTTCACAGTATCTGCATTCCTCATTTGTCACACATTGTTATTACCAACGATGTATAACTTTTTATGTATTCGATTATCATGCCCAGCATCCTCATTTTCTAGGTGAGGAAACTGAGGCCCAGAATGAAGACTGGATTTGCCTTGTCACCCACACAGTACTTTATTCCTCATAAGCACTCAGTAAATGCCAGTTGGCTGACCGAGCAGGGGGTCTGTGTGTATTTCTGTCATGAGTGAAGGGAAGCTGTTTACAAATTTAGTTCTGCCTTCTAATTTCCAAACATAGCTCCTTTTTTCTCTCCTTCCCATTTCCTTCCTTTTTTGCTTTCCTCCTCCTGTTTTCCTCATGTTTAATTCCCTTTGTTCTTCTTTTGTGTCCAAAGCAGTATGGTATTTGAGGAGAAGGAGGTTGGTGGGGCTGGTGCTTGTCCACTGTATGTCCTCCCCTCTACATTTTGAACCTGTGTTATCAGGCTTTGACCTCTGAAGACTTCTGTGTGAATGCCAGTCATCTCATGGCTGGAGTCTTGCTGGGTTAAGATTATACTGGGTTTCAAGAATTTAAGTTATGAGATAAGGTTAGGTGTGTTGGCCTATTTCTCACTAGAAAAGAGACCTCCTTAGTGATCTATCTGAAGTTTTGTACTTTTTGAAAATGGACTGAGCCTATAGAATAAGTTGCCAGGAAGGCAGCATGAAGAAAAAGACGTTTATTGAACACCCACTGTGGGTAGAGCCCTGCTGAAGAGATGATAATAAACCAGAGTTTATTGAAAGATAAATGATGATGGAGCAATTGATGAGGAAACGAAAGGGAACCAAAGATTTCAAAAGTGTCCGTGGGGTTTCAGCATGTATGTGATATCCTTAACATTTTTCACATGTGTCCATAGCAGTGGTTGACTTGCTTCAGGAATTAACAGATATAGACACCCTCCATGAGAGTGAGGAAGGAGCAGAAGTGCTCATCGATGCCCTGGTAAGTTGAGTTTTTTTAGGTTTGTTTAATTGTTGGCCTTGTAACCACCATAGTCTTAGGGCCAGCTATGAGAGTAGCATCAGGTAGAGATAAGTGGCAAGAGATGATCAGTGAGCAGCACTGAATGATGGGAGTTCAAAAGCAGAAGTACAGGCTACTTTATTTTTGGGATTCTTTTGGGTGAGGGATTGTAAAGGCCTACCATTTATTAATTATCTGTTGTGGGCAATGCTTTTCTCATTCTTTTCCTGCTGTTTAATCTTTGCCACATCCTCCCAGGTGAGGAGTATTATAGGTTTCATTCCCCATTTACAGCTCTGAAGCTTGTTGTTGTTGTTATGTGCCGTCAAGTCAGCCCCGACTCATAGCGACCCCCTCATTGGGTTTCTGAGGCAGTATCACTATGGAAGTAGATTGCCCAACCTTCCTCCTGAGGAGTGGCTGATGGGTTTGAACCAACAGCCTTGTGGTTAGCAGGCAAGTGCCTTAGGTACTACGCTACCAGAGCTCCCGCTCTAAAGCTTAGAAGGTAAAACAACTCACTCATGCTCACACAGCAGGAACTTGAACCTGTGTTTCTTTGCCTCTGTTCCTGTTCTTTCTATCCCCTACCCTCCAGTGTATCACCACTAACCTTTATGCAGAGAGCTTTCACAAATGTGCATGTTCTCTTCTGGACTTTATAATCCCAAGGGTTAGGGAGGACAGGTGGTATTATTGCTTATCTTACAGATTTGTAATCAGAGAGGAATTGGAGAACATTGAAAGTGGGAATTAACGTTATAGCTCATCTAGGCCAGAGTTGCATCCCTTGCCTATAGAAGACAGGGCCAGTTGATTTCGTTTGTGGAGGATAGGCAGGGCCTCAGAATCCTCCTCAGTTACTGTACCAGGTAGCAGCCAATCAGAAGGAGACAGTATGTGACGTAAAGCTTGCAGGCCAGGCCAGATCTAGTCTAATCTCCTAGCTTTACATGTGAGGAAGCCCAGATGCAGAAATTAAGCCTTCCGCCGGGTCAGTCAGTCAGTCCTTCTAATAGTGGAGATTAGAGCCTACATGTACTGATCCGAACCATACTCCTGTTCCTACCACACCAGATTCCCTCTCTCGTGGTGATCAGAGAGGTGAAGCCCTACCCAGGGCACCACAGCTGGCCAATGGCAGAAGTGGGTCTAGTCCCTGACACATCCTGTGGATGTCTGTCTATCCACCAAACTGTCTTCTTCCTCGAGGCTCTGCTAATTCCCTTTCCTTTCTCTGCTCCCTTCCACTCCCCCTTTCCCTTCATCCTGTCTTTTCTCTCTGGTAAGAATGTTAGTGAGCCCTGGTTTTGATGCGGTTTGCAGAATTTATCAAAGATTGCTGCAGCCGTGTGTAATGGAAGCACCTGTGGTGCTCATTAGGCTGTTTTCTGGCCCCATCCGAGACCTTCTGAATCAGAATCGATGGGACCCGTTGAAGGATGAGACCCCACGCCACACTGCCTGCCCCCACCTCACCCTTTCGCTGTAAAGGTTCTTGATACTGGAGAGTCCCTGTGTGGCTTGCTGGCTGCTGACATTTGGTGTGAATGAAGGGTTATGAACCCACTGGACGTGAAGAACTGTCTCTTACGGAGCATGAGGCTGGAGTCCAATAGGGCCATTTATGACTGAGTATGATGAAAATTTCTATGGCCTTTTTTCTTTCAAGCTAGAAAGAAAACTGCCACTTTTTATAGAATTCTGGACCTTTGTATTTCCTTTGAACAACTGTGCAGAAAGAAAAGGATGATGTTGGGGTGTTCTGTTTTGAGGAGCATCTGAAGGCAGGCTGTGGCACTTCCTCCTTCCCTGTGTCCCCACAGTGTCATTTGTGCAGTCTTACCTTCCAGAGGTTAATTACAGTGGCCCTGAATGAAGCTTCCTGCCTGGTCCCTGGGCTGATTTTAATTACCAGCCTTTGCCAGTGTGAATAGAGGAGACAGAGAGAGGCACAGCTAGCCTGGCTGCTGCTTGTAAAACGTACCCAGAAACAGCAGTTCACGCAAAAGTCTCTTTTGTGTTTTCCATGTTGCCAAGCCCACCAACAAAAGCTGCATCTTGCAGATTTTATTGTTCGTTTGGAAAAAAATTGTCCTCAGTCTGGGGAGCCATTTGGTGGTTGATAGACAGGGTTTTTTGATTGTTTTAGTGCTAATATTACTATTTTAAGATTTTGACTCATAGCTTTGCACTGGTGGGGCTGGTATGGATCACAAACAATTGAACATTTCTGGCTTCTAATCTGTCATTTGCTTGTCTGCAACCAGTCAGAAGCCATCAGTAATTATCAGAGGTCAGAGAAGATGGGTGGTCTTCTATTTCTTTTTTACTACCCTGTGCTGCATTCAGGAAGGAATTTGATAAGTATTCTCAATATTACAAGGGCTGGGTTTTCTTTGTAGTTTTAATTTGGGGCCAATATCAGAGGCCTGGAATTGCTTGAGCAGAGGCTAGAGGGCATGTAGCAGAATTTATGTGGTGTGCAGTTTGCAGTTATTGCCTTGGTCTTTTTCCCAGTTGGAAGTCCTAAGCAATAGAAGAGTACATTTGTGGGGAGAGAGTGCTTTCCTGGCATTCTCAGGGATCTTTGGGGTTTTAAAATTTGGTTCATTGCCACTGCTGTTACTTATGCAGAAGGTAAATGTTCATGCTTTGTAACAAGTTGATTTGGTAACCTGGAAAATAGAATCTTTTCTGAGAGCAGTGAATGCGAGGGTATATTGCTTTGATGGCAATTCTCTGGCACAGCTCTCTGAAGAAGACTTTGGACTCCCTGGGAATAGTGATCAGATTGCAGTCATTTTTCTACATGCTGTTCCCAAAATTTGTCATGTGCTTAGTAGTTCCACGCCTTTGCTCACACTCTGCCTTCGGCTTGGCATGCCTTGCTTTTCGTGGGCTGCCTGGAATATTTCTCCAAACTCAGACTCACTGCCATTGAGTCACTTCTGACTCATAGCGACCCCTGTTGGTTTTCCAAGGCTGTAAATCTTTATGGAAGCAAACTGCCTCATATTTCTTCCATGAGGTGGCTTGTGGATGAAATACTCCTACTTACCCTTTAAAGCCTAACTCAGACCTGTCTTCTCTCTTATAAGGTTTTCTGCCTCCCCCCCGCCCCCCCGCCCGCCTTTTGCAGGCTCATCACCTCAGTGGAATGTGTGTTCCCTGGTACTTGTTCCCAAGTTCATCCTAGTACTTGTGAGACCAACTCTGTGTCCTTGGGAAAGTTACCTAACCTCTTTGTTTCTTCTTCTGAAGAATGGGAATAACAATAGTGTCTATTACACAGGGCTCAAGTGAAAAAAGAAGATACTTGAATAAGTCTTTAGAACAGTGCCTGACACAGTAAACACCCAACAAATGTTGGCCATTATTGTTATAAAGGTATTATAAAGCCTTTGTAAATGTCCAGTTAAAATTATATATCATTTGCCACACAGTGAGATGTCTGTGAACAATTAGTTTAATAAATGGTTTTTGAGTATTGTATACAACATGAATCAACTACTTCAAAGGGTGCATACTTAAATGAAACGTGGGAGGATGGGAGTTTAGTTTTTGAAGCAGTCTGCGTCCATAAACATTTCCAGCCTTGGGTACCCTCTGAGGCAGTTCTGCTCTGCCCTAAAGGGTCTCCATGAGTCAGAATCGACTGGTTGGCAGTGGATTGGGTTGAGTTTGACCACAGAGTTCTGCTGTGGTGAGGAGGAATGGGATAGTAGGGCCAGTTCACACTGAGCTGTATAGGCCTTGGTAAGAAATTTGGGTGGAATTCCCAGTGTGAAGGGGAGTAATTGAACAATTGTAAGCAAGGGAGGGGAGTAGTAACATGATCTGATCTAACGTTTTTAAAAGACCACTCTGGCAGCTGAGTGGATAATGGGATAGTGGGGCAAGAGTAGAAGCAGGAGGACAAGTTAGGAGGCTTTTTATTATTATTATTATTGTAGGCATCAGGGTGGAAGTGATTTTGGCCTGGACTAGAGCAATGGTGTGGAAATGGACAGAGGAGGTGGATTTTTGAGATATGCTTTGGAGGGAGAGGGGAGGGACTTGTTGAGTGTTTGGATCTTGGAGTAAAGGAAAGAAAAGAATCAAGAAGACTCCAAGTTTATGGCTTGAGCAGCTAGAAGGATGTTGATTCTGCTTGGTGAGATGTGGGAAGCTGGAAGAGAAGCCATATTAAGTGTGTCACTTTTATTAGATATCCAGGTTGATACCAGCTTTCAAAATTGCTCTCTTAATGATTAGATAGATTGCAAGGCTATGTTTTACATTAATGACCACACTATCATAGGTAGCCTACAAATTGATTGATCAAGATTCAATGAGGTAGGGTTTTTTACTATGGAATTTCAGCAACTCCTACTAAGTAGAAAAACTAACTCCTGAGAAAGTTTATTGGCAGATTGTACAGATAAAAAGAATCAAGCCCCCTTGTCTGGTTTTTTTTTTTTTTTCCCCTTCCTCCTTTTTTCTTGTATCAGTCCTCTTTGGTTAAGGCCAGGGTTGCTTTTTCTGACTGGTGCTTTAATCCCTAAGCAAGATTTGTTTTTAGTATCAGACTTAGTCATGTTGTTGTTGTTGTTATGTGCCGTCGAGTCGGCCCCGACTCATAGCGACCCCTCCTTGGGTTTCCGAGGCAGTATCACTACGGAAGTAGGATTGCCCAACCTTCCTTCCAAGGAGTGGCTGGTGGGTTTGAACCGCCAGCCTTCTGGTGAGCAGTCAAGTGCTTTTAGCCACTATGCTACCAGACCTCCCCATTTGTTGTTGTTGTTATTTGCCATCGAGTCAGCCCCGACTCCTAGCGACCCCTCCTTGAGTTTCCGAGGCAGTTATCACTACGGAAGTAGGATTGCCCAACCTTCCTTCCGAGGAGTGGCTGGTGGGTTTGAACCTCCAGCCTCCTGGTTAGCAGTCAAGTGCCTTAGGCACTATGCTACCAGAGCTCCCCCATAGGCCCCAACAAATAGGCATGAAGGTGGTAGACCCAGGGGGCTGGAGGAAGTAGGCTAGAATTAGAATGTTAATTTGTGCTTCTTACCGGGCAACATACAGAGCTATGCATAGCAAATATTTTTCCAAAGGTTTTCTGAGCTAACTGTATTTTGACGTGTTTAGCCCTCCTGCAATCAGATAAAATTGTATTTGACCCAGGTAAACACAGAGTTTCATACTTTGCAAGCTTAGAAAGGCTGCCTGTTAGAAGTTAGATTCCCAGAGCAAGGAAAAGATTTTCCTCTAGCCAGATGCCCATTGTCTAACCACAGTCATTCAACGCTGGGATTTGAACGTGTTGCTCGCTGCCCCTGTCCCCACTGCTTTCCAGACAGAAGAGATGGGAAACATAACTAAGAATCAAAGAGCAAGCAAAGTGAAAGCAAATAAAGGAAATAATGCAGAGAAAGCAGCAATAAGAAGTTGAAACTGGTGAAGCAGTTTACAGAACCGATAAGCAGTGTGATACCCAGCGGAGTCGCAGTGTCTGCTGCGTTAGGATGGAGGGAGATTATAAGTCAATCAGGGTGATTTAGGGAAAAACAAACTGTGGCATGGTTCGTATTTTTCCCCCAGATGTTTTTCTGTTTTCTCACACATACCCAAATTGTCCAATTAATTAAGAAAAACATTGCAGCTTTTGGTGGCTGTGAGGTTTGAGAACAAGATAGTGTATCTCCTGATAGAAGAGGGGAAAACAGCTCCTGCTTGTGTTTATGGGCTCTCTCCTCTCAGATAAGCAGTTAACCTTGTCTTTCATTGTCCCTCACACCAGGGTGTAAACGTATCACAAATCAGTTAATAGTTTCACCTTCCTCCTTTGTCCAGGTGCTTCCCTTGAGTCTCCTGGGAAGAAGTAAAGAGGCCTTATTTCAAGATCTGTCCCAGTAGCCTCACTTCCATGCTCAGACCGAGTTTGAATTGTCAGACTGTGTCCAGAAAACTGCCTTACACACAGTTGTCCATTGAATGAGGTCACTTCCTTCTCTTTTCTCCCATCACTGAAGTGATAAGATTCAATGGGAAAAAATAGAGTTTTGGAGTTGGTCACCTCTGCTACCAGCTTTGTATCTTTAGCCAAGTTGATTAACACCTCTGGACCTTTGTTGTCTCACCTGGAAGGACTATGAGGGCTACATGAAGTTAAATGGAGCAGTATATATAAAGAATCAATTACAATGCACAAAGGAAGTGCTCTGACCGTTTACTGCATTTAAATTTAGCACAAGTTTCTGAGTGTCTGCTATGTGTAGCATAGCACTAGACTTTGAAGGGTATACCAAGATGGATGAGGTGCCTGCCATGGGTTCTTTTATACAGTTGCCTTAAGCCAGAACTAGAGTAAGACATGTCACATATTTTCATTTAATCTTTACAAATTATTCCCATTTCTTAAGTGAGGAAACTGAGGCACTGAGAGAAGGGATGCACCATGAGTATACAGCAGACTTTATCTTCAGACACAAGTTTACTCATTGGCTACTTAGAAATCTGGTACCAGGTAGATACACTTCTTGATAATGAAAATGAGGTGTTTTCTTAGTTGTACCTCCTTTGTGTACCTCATGTGGGGGCAGTCTCCCTACGAACACAAATTATGCACAGAAGGTAGCATGAAATAGTAAAAGCATCATTTCACCTAAGATGACGGGAGCTTAGTTTTAACCATTACTAAGTAGCTGTGTGGTCTTGGCTAAGCCATGACCCTCCTGAATATCAGCTAGATGATGTTGCTACTTTATCTGTCTCAAAGTATTTTATGAATCAGGTTAAGTAAGAGAAATACAATGGCTTTTTAATGCATTGAATGCAATACAAACATTAGGCATTTTATCATGTTGATATCATTCTTTTCAAGACAGAACTAGAGATTCTTAAGAAGAAATAGTTTTATAAAAAGCTTAGCATGGAAAGTTAGGAATGTTTTGAGTTTAACCCTAAATTCTGAGGTCAGCATAAAGCATGGTAGGTAAATGAACTCTCCAGCTAAACATTTCTTGCCACTGTGGTCTAAAAATGTGTTTTTCATTTGAGTAAACAGTTGACCTGATTTAAGATGCCTTTTTTTTTTTTTTAAATGTATTTAAATACCATAGAGAAGGAGGAGACACTGGCCTTGGTTTTGGAGGGCTCAGGCTTGAGAGCTAACACTGTCCTTCACTACCCTTGTGACCTTCTTAAGCTTCAGTTTACTCCTCTTACGTTAGGGATGGTGATGCCTGTCCTTTCCTTGCTTCAGGGTCACTTTCAGGATCAAGAAATAATGGGATTGGAGAGCATATTATAAAGCATGGATTGCCGATTATTTACTTACTTTGTTTACTGAAATAGTGGAGAAGCAGGTGTGGGAATGGGGACATTTTGGAGGCTGCTTTGTGACATTTGTCCCTCTGTCCTTTTGCGTCCCTGTTTCTGAAGGTAGATGGGCAGGTGGTAGCACTGCTGGTGCAGAATTTAGAGCGCCTGGATGAATCCGTGAAAGAAGAGGCGGACGGTGTGCACAATACTCTTGGTGAGAGGAATGGTGCCCAGTGTGCCCTGAGTTTCTTTGTGCTTGTTTTGGGGCCGGGTGGCCATTTCCCTTCCTCCTTCTTAATAGAGTCAATAAAAAAAAAAAAGAACTCACTGCCATTGAGTCAGATCCAACTCATAGTGACCCCTCCTTGGATTTCTGAGGCGGTATCACTATGGAAGTAGATTCCCCAGTCTTCCTTCCGAGGAATCAGTAGCAGTGTGTTTTCTTTCCTTTTGCTCCCAAACTGCCTGTTCAGAAATGAAGACTCTTGGGTAAATTTCATATATTTGCAGCTTTGGTGTGGCTAGCAGATAATAAGAGGACAAAGTAGGTAACCTTTCTGGGCAAAAATCACCAATACCTTTTAACAGGCCTTTGCAGGGTGGATTTTTTTTTTTTTTGCTTTGGAAAATATGTATTTTATAATGTTTAATCCCCTCATGTTGGTTTTTCTTCCCACTTTGCTTCAGTGGAACTACAAACTTCTGAATAACTGTGTACCTTTATAGGACATTTTATTTGAAAAAGAGCCAGTGTTTCTTTCTCTTCTTGTGTAGAGTTTGCTTTGTAAACTGTGAGCTATTAACTTGGCTGTCCCTCCAGCATATGTTATTTAAGTGAGTTCGTCTGCAGTACTCTCCACTTCTCCTTCTCATTTCCACAGTACTTCCCGTTGCAAGGTTGCTGAACCAATAGCCTATTTAAAATTGTGCTTTTGAGTAGTCCTCATTATACCACCAGTCTCTGTCTTATAGAGACCAAAACCAAAATACCAAATTCACTGCTGTTGAGCCATTTCCAGCTCATAGCAACCCCTCCTTGAGTTTCTGAGGTGGTATCTCTACAAAAGTAGATTGCCCAGTTTTCGTTCTGAGGGGTTGCTGATGGGTTTGAACTGCCAGCCTTCTGGTTTGTAGTCAGATGCCTTAGGCACTGTGCCACCAGAGCTCCCCTTGTAGAAGCAGAGGTGACATACGTGTAAGCAGAGCTTGAGAAGTGAACAGGTCCCAGTGGAAGCAGAAATTTTGATGAGATTAGATTTTCTCTCTGGTCTTTTGTGTTTACCATAGATTTCTCTTGTAGGTCTAGACTCTTCAGTGAGGATTATCATAAAGAAAGGGGGAGCAGTAGTACCGAGGGAGTAAGGGAAAAGAGAACACAGCAATGTGCAGTTTGAGAGTTGCTCTACTTGTCTAGCGATAGAATTAGGCATTGCCGTGTGTTAGCCTGATGCTTGATTTTGCTGAGAGAAAGTTGATCAAAGTCTTAACTGACTGCCAATAATAAAAAGGCCTAGTGTAATGGAAAAAACACCAGACTAGCAGGCTACAGAGAGCTCTTGGTTTCACCTTTGTCACCTGCCATCAGCTCGGGAGACTCACCTCTCTCTCCCTAATTGAGTGCCTTGAGGTTTGTCAGACACTGTGCTAGGCATTAGGGTAGATGAAAGATGAATTAGGTATGGTTCTACTCTTTAAGGGACAGATTGGTAGAAAATTCTTGGACAGAAAGGAAAGATAATACAGGGTGATAAATGGTACAATAGGAGTCAGTGAAAATTATCATGGAAATAAAGAGGAGGAGGGATGTCCAAATTGCTGGATAAGAGCAGGCAGCTGATTGTGGCTGAGTGTGAAGATGGTTGCATTTGGACAAGTGGAGAATTATGAGAAGGACCTTTGGGCATGAGAGTAGCATCTGCAAAGTCTGGGAGCCATGAATGGGCAGGGGCTTTGAGGACAGATTAGAAATGAACTGGGCTGGTGGGAGGTGGTAGTAGTGGGAGATGGGGCTGGAGGAGTAAGTTTGTCCAGATTATGGAAGATGAGAAGTTGGATTTTTTTCCTAGTGGGTAGCAACGGGAAGCCATCTAAAATTTAAGCAGAAAAGTAAAATAAGATAAAAGCATAGGAGGTTAAAGTGAGTGAATTGATTTTCTTAGAAAATGCGAGATAGTAATTTAGGGTATTGTAATGATCTTCATCTCTTAAGAGTCTCTTTGCTGCTGTACTGTCCAGTCATTCTTTAACTTGTCATTGGCAAGGCTGACGTTGGTGCAAGAGTGAGGGAGTATGTAGGAGGTATGGTGATTTCTTCAGCCCTTCTCCTTCAGAGCTCAGCTCTGATGTGTTCTGGGCATTGTGCTCAGAGAATACAAAGCTATGTCTTCTTTAGAAGCATTTGATGTGCTAGGATGAGACCATAGGTGATTTCTTTTTATGTCCTTTTTTTTAGTGTCACAGTCATGCAATAACTTGCTTTGTTTTTTCTTGTCTCCTGTGTTTAAATTGTTAAGCAGTACTTTGGCCATTGTAGGAGATGGCAGGACTATGTTTGTTTCTGAGTGTTCTGCAGTTACCTCAGCCAGCATGGCCTCTCCCTTCTCTGCACATTATTGTGTTCAATTAAAAAGACCCTGCTTACCTCCCTTGCACTGTCCTTGTTTCTGTATGATGCAGAGAAAGAACTGAAAGTGGGTCAGTCAGAAAAGAAATAGAGTGACTCCAGGGCCAAACACGTGTTTTGTTTTTCATTTTTTCCTAAGGTTTAGTTATAAGTTTCAGGGATTCTGGTGCAGTGGGGACTAAGAGAGTTTCTTAGGTAGATACCCACTCTTGTATGTTCTAGTGTTGTTCCCTATCAGCACAGAAATTTACCACATATTCCTTAATGTGACTTCCATCATCTCCAGTTATGAGCCTTACTTGTACAGTGTACCTTAACTTGAAGAAAAAGAAAACAAAAAACACAGTGAGGCTTGTAGCTTCCTGGTTAATCTAAAAATGACAGCACAGCATCTGGCTAAGAGGAGTCCAGGGAGCTGGGAAGAGGAATACCATGCATGGCTCAGGAGGAGAGTGTGTTGCGGTTGGAAACAAAGTTGCCGTCCTGAATGACTGGTTTCTGTCTCCCTTCAGCTATTGTGGAGAACATGGCTGAGTTCCGGCCTGAGATGTGTACAGAGGCAGCCCAACAGGGCCTTCTGCAGTGGCTGCTAAAGAGGCTGAAGGTAAGCTGGGGTTTGTGGCCCTACTAGGCAAACCTCTCTGCTCTGGGTTTGGCTGATCCTGGGCCGTATGGTCTAGGTTAGGAATCTTTGGTACCTCTAGCCTCTTTCTTTGTTTCTCTCTCTATATATAAATTAATTTACTGTTTGTTTGTTTTGAAGGAAGGGCCTTTAAAAATAGCCTTTAGTGTTTCTGAAAATAATATAAGCATGTTGTAAATAAAAATCCATATGCTACAGAAGGTATAAAACTGGAAGTTAAAAGTTCCCATCTTTTGATTTCTTCCAGTCATGATTCTCAGAGACAGCCACTGCTAGTATTTTATCCAACCCTTCAGAAGTTTCCTGTGCACATAGCAGAGTGTATGTGTGTGCATGCATGTGTGTGTGTTTCACAATCAGAATTATACAGTATTTTATTGCAACTCAGTCTTTTCACTGAACTAATTAATGGCTGCCTAGTAGTCCATTATATGGATGTACCAAAATTAATTTAACCATTTATCAGTTAGAATTTTCACTGTAATGAACAGTATGCAGTGAATATTCTTGTGTACACACTCTTTTTTTCTTGAACACGAGCCTACTTTGCCTGTTGGATAAATTCCTAAGAGTGGTATTGATAAGTCAGAGAGTATACATATTGAAATTTTCAGTGGTATTGAAAATCGTCCTTCAAAAGGCTGATTTGAGAGGGTCTCTTTCCTTGTATTCCTAGCAACATTGGACATTATCAAACTTTTCTAATTTTGCCGATCTGATAACAGAAAACTGATGTTTTATTATTTTAATTAGGAATTTTAAAATCCACTAAAACGTATTGGCTTCTAGTTGTTGATTGCCATTTGTACTTATCCATTAAGGTCACCATGAGTTGGGGACGAGTCCACAGCACTTTTCTCTTTAAGTTTTAACCAAAGATGTGATCGGAAGTAGTTTGGAACTGTTTATGTGCTACTGAAATGGTCCTTGGGCAGGCAAAGATTTCCAGGTTTTTAGTTAGGAAGCGACATTGTTTGTAGTTTGAGTGATTCTTTAAGCAGTCATGGCCTTGCTGGACTTGAGAATGTCATGGAAATCCAGGAAGTCTGATGTGTATCAGGTCATGCTTTTTCCCCATTGTCTTTGCAGGACCAAGAGAAGGCTCTACAGTACTACCTAAGTTTTCTGACAGCCTAAGTTTTTCCTAGTCTCATTTACGGAATCATCTTTTTCCCATGAAATCTTTAACATAGACTTGTATAGGATATTGATTGGGGGATACTCAGCTAGCCCATATATTATCATCAGTGGATATGGGCACATGTGCCTGGCAGGGTCTGAACCTGATGCATAGTTCAGTGGACTATAAGCCCCCACTCCCCTCCCTCTCAGTCGTATAGTTAGCTGATGGTGAATTCATGCATTGTCATCTTTGCTACTTCATTTCAACCTCCTCTCAACAGTCTAGGTATCCTCTGGTTTTGGAGCAGGACTTGCTTCCCCATGTAGTTCCCTTTATGTTGCCTAAGCTGAGTTTCTTCTTTCCTCGATATTTAACACATTTTTTATTATCCAAACCATTGAGACATGTTGGGAGTGAAGAGTAGGGGAGAGGAAAGTAGGACACAAAGTTAAGAGAGTACCATATATGGCAGGGACCTGAGTTGTTAGTGGGGTGTCCAGAGGTTGGGGCCCCAATCTTAAAATACACAAAATAATCCAGTAGTTTTTATTTCTGTGAAGTCAGAACAAATTTCTGAGTTACTTAAGACTTGATACTGGTTCAGGGATCCCTCAAGGATCCTTTCTTAAACCAGAATGTAAAACCTCTTCTGCCTTTTGAAAGGTATTAAAACTTGCCAGAGTCTTCAGAATTTAACTGTTCTTTGGAATTGCTAACATAGGGAAGGAAATTGAGACCTTTGGGTGTTTGGCTTGGATTCCATTACCCTTATGATCGTATTAAGGCAGGCCCATTGATAGTCTAGCAAGCTATTGGTTCTTGCCTTTTAGGCATAGGATTTGCTGTCTCTAAAATGATTTTGTAAGGTTCCAGGGTGTTTAAACATTAAAATGCTATTTGATTATTTTACTAGTAAGCAAGTGCCCTTAGAAGTGTGTCCTTAGAAGTGTGCTGCCCAGAACGTTAATGACAAAAAGCACTCCTTAAGGGTGAAGCCAGCAAGGAGGCATGACTTCAAAAGCAATGCCTTGCTGTTATTTCTCATAATCTGGGAAAATGTGTATTATAATCTTCTTATCATAAACATCACAGTGCAACAGAGAGAATGCTGGACCCCGATGCTGATTTTTCCCTTTGTTAGCTGTGTAACTGTAAGTTGTGGTCCCTTAACTTGTCTGGGATCATATTCCCTGCCTTTCCAGCCTCGCAGGGTTATTGTGAAGTTCAGATGTGATCAGTTTAATTGTAAAGGTCTGTATAGCAATGGCTTTCAGCTGGGGTTTATATCAGGATCATCTGTGAAGCTTCAAAAATAATAAGAGTAATAATATAGCTTCCTGACCTATCATATTTTTATGCCAATGATATGTGCATTATATGTTTGTTTGTAACAAACTGCACAACCTCTTTATGTGTTATTTTCCTGTGTGTGCTGTGGACATTATGTGCATGTGTACATTATTTGTGTGTGAGTATATTTGCGGAAAACTCAGTACTGTCCCAGTCTCTGGTGTTGGTATATGTTAGAAAAGACCCACAAGTGATTCCCAAACTGATTTAAAGTTCCATTTTCAGTATGCCATTCCCTATTCAAGAATCTATCTATACAATAACATATCAAAAAAATAATACACCATGACCAAGTGGGATTCATACAGATATGCAAGGATGGTTCAACATTAGCAAAACAATCACTGTAATCCACCACATAAATAGAACAAAGGAAAAGAACCACATGATTATATCAATCGATGCAAAAAAGACATTTGACAAACTCCAAAACCCATCTTCATAAAAATGTTCAACAGAATAAGAATAGAAGGGAAATTCCTCAGTGTAATTAAGGGCATTGTTTTGGTTACCTAGTGCTACTCTGACAGGAATATAGCACAAATGGGATGACTTTAACAAACAGGAGTTAATTCTCCTACAGTTTAGAGGCTTTAAGTCCAAGTTCAAAGTGCCAGGCTCTAGGGTCTGGGTGAAAGCCCCTCAACCTTGGGCTTCAGCTCTGTCTCCTGCTTCCAGCCCACTGGAGCTAGAGGCTTGTCTTCACTCAGACAGCTGCTGGCTGCTGAGGCTAACAAGCCCAAGGTTGACAAGTAAAAAGGCACAGTCCTGATGTTAAAAACCACATGGCAGGTCATTAATTCAAGTCCATTGAAAGTCCCAAGGTTGGCAGAGCATGGCAGACTGCTGAACAACAATTTGGCTACATGTTGGGTTCAAGCATGCCATAGGCTCAAGACTGTTCCCCAAGGCTTCTCCTTATATACGGGAAGCAGACCATATCCCTAAAGCAGCTACTCAGCTGCTCATAGTAGACCATGGAGTTGATTACCAGTTTCATCATGGGGAGTACTACATCCAGCTGCCCAGCCACTGAATCAGGCCTAGCCAAGTTGGCACACATACTTAACTACCACAGGCGTCTATACAAGCTAATGGCCAATATTGTCTCAACGGAGACTGAAAGCATGGCCCTTGAGAGCTGGAACCAGACAAGGATGCCCTTTGTTGCACTCCTATTCACTTCTCAATAGTATGTTAGAAGTCCTAACCAGAACAGTAAGGCAAGAAAGGGAAATAAAAGGCATCCACATTGGTAAAGAAGTACTAAAACTATTTCAGCGTGCAGATGATATGATCCTATGCATAGAATATCCCACAGATTCAGCAAGGCAATTATTGGAACTAATTGAAAGATTCAATGCAAAGTGGCAGGGTACAAAATCATCATACAAAAATCAGTTGGATTCCTTTATACTAACAAAGAGAACTCTGAAAAAGAAATCAGGAAAACAACACCATTTACAATAGCCATCTAAAAGATGAAGAACTTAGGAATAAATCTAACCAGAGACACAAAAGACCTATACAGAGAAAGCTAGAAAACATGGTCACGAATAGGAAGGTTTTGCATTGTAAAAATGTCAGTACTACCCAAAGTGATCTATAGATATAGTGCAATCATAATCCAGATTCCATCAACATTCTTTAAAGAGATTTCAAAAAACAAAAACTAATCACCAACTTTACATGGAACAGCAAGAGATTCCAGATAAGCAAAGCACTACTGAAAAACAAGAACAAAGTAGGAGGCCTCAAACTTCCCAATCTCCTGTTACAAGGCCATAGTGGTCAAAACTGCCTGATACTGGTACAATGACAAATACATAGACCAAAGAAACAGAATTGAGAACCTAGAAGTAAATCCATCCGCCTATAGACAGCTGATCTTCGACAAAGGGCCAAAACCAATTCAATGATGAAGAGCTAGTCTCTAATAAATGGTGCTGGCAAAACTGGATATGCATTTGCAGGAAAATGAAATGGATCCATATCACACACATATATACAAAAACTAAAGGTAGATCAAAGACCTAAATGTAAAACTATAAAAAGCATCAAGGGAAAAATAGAGATAAGCTTAGGGGTCCTAACACTTGGTATAAATAAACTATCAAATGTAACTAAAAATATATAAACAGCAGAGAACAAACTAGATGACTGGGACTTCCTAAGAATTAGACACTTAGGTGCATCAAAAGATTTCATCAAAAGAATAAAAAGAGAACCCTTAGACTAGGGGGAAAAAAATGGCCACAACATATCAGACAAGGAACTAGTCTCAAAGATTTGTGGAAAACGTCAACACCTCAACAACAAAAAGACAAATAATCTAATTAAAAAATGGACAGAGGACATGAACAGGCACTTTGCCAAAGACAACATTCAGGTGGCCAATAAACACATGAAGAAATGCTGGTGATCATTAGGCGTTAGAGAGATGTAAATCAACAACAATGAGGTATCTTTCTCAACCCCAACATTAATA